AAAGAGAACCACTGATTGGCTGTCTCTTGCACGCCGCACACTGGGGATCCAGCCACAACATGGGCAGGTTCCCTGGCCAGGAATCTAACAGTGACCTTCTGGTTCATGGGCCGATGCTCAACTAAGATGCTTTTTCATGCTATTGGTCCAGCTACTATTATTGTCCTGAGCGAGAATAATACCAGCTACCATCTCTTGGACCAACTGTGTACCAGGCTCTGCCTTAGGTGCTCGGTAGACATGAACATACGTAGCTCTATACTGGGAGACAAGAAGACTGTGTACCTGCGATGCCGAGCACACAGAATCCCGGGGTGTGGAGGCTCAGGAACCGTCTTATTGCTCCGCTCGCTGTTCCTGTAAGTCCACGCTGTGGGGCCGGGTCTCCCCTGTCTGTGGATGACAGCCGTGGCCCATGAATTCCCTGTTCCCTCCTGGGTAAGAAAAGCAATTCCCTGGTCACTTTCTCAGGTCAATTTCAGTTGCAATCTATGATCTCTATTCAGCAACAACTAGTTCTATTAAAGGATCTAAATTCTGAGCTTATTTTAAAAATTGATATATACACATATATGTCATATACATTATACAAAAATATATTTATGTATATTCTATATATCAGTTTCAGAGCAGAAGGAAGGGAAAGAGAGATGGAAACATCCATGATGAGAGAGAATCATGGCTCGGCTGCCTCCTGCACGCCTCCTACTGGGGATCCAGCCCGCAACCCGGGCATGTGCCCTGACCGGGAATCGAACCGTGACCTCCTGGTTCAAAGGTCAATGCTCAACCACTGAGCCACGCCGGTCGGGTCAAACTCTGACCTTATTTAAATTTGAGACCACTGCTCCTTCTTTGGCTTAAGGAGGAAACCTGCCTGGGAAAGGGGTCCCTGATGAGTCTCTTTGAGTTTTCCCCACCATGGCCTCCTTCCTCCTCCTGGGCAGGGTGGACAGGAAAGGGGAGCACGGACGTTCTGACCTGCCAGCTACTATCGGGTACAGGCACCCCTCCAGCCCTTTCATAGGTTTGAAGACAGACCCGCCCCCAACCCATCTGTCATGTGCTGGGGGCTCTCACCTGGAGGCTGACACGGGCAACACGCTCCCCTCCACTGTGGCTGCGGCGCCTTCTGCAGCTCCTGGGATTGTGGCTGATCACGGCTGGACCTGGCTGTGGTCCCCTCTGAACACAGTCCTCTCGGATGGTGACCAAGCCCCCTCCACTGGCTCCCTCTCAGAGAGCCCACACATTGGAACACAGGCCGTCCTGGGGCAGTCACCTCCCCTTTGTTCTGCCAACAAAGCACCCAGGCAGCCAGCTAGGGACTGAATTGAGCCCCCCTGGTCAACATGTTGCAGTGCTAAGCCACAATGTTACTGTATTTGGAGACAGGGCCTGTAAGGAGGTAAAGAAGGTTAAATGAGGTCGTAGGGGTGGGGCCCTGATCCAAGAGGATTAGTGTCCTTCTAAGACAAGACACCAGAGTTTTCTCTCTCTGGGACACCAGCTTTCCAGCACCAGAATGAGGGGTTGGGAATGTCATAAAGATTCGGGGGTCTCTAGGAGGGGTTGAGGAGGTCTGCTGGGTGAAGGGAGCCTCCATGGGGTACAGCTAGGAAATTCCCAGGGGGATGGCCCAGGCCCATTTGCATGGGGGTCCAGCTGACATCTTTCTCAGTTTTGTTCCAGACATACCTGAGACATCTGCTTTCCTGTAATCCCACCTGGTCCCCAGAGGAGGTACTCACCAGAGGACGGAACCACAACCACACTGCTGCCAGCAGGCGGCAGACATCGGAGGGAGCCGCTACCTTATCTCAGCTGCTGGAGGAGAGAAGCCATGCCCAGGGCCCAGGTGCAGACAGGGCCTCAGTCCATGGTTTGGTAGATCACCCTGGCCCTTGACCCCAGCAGAAAAAAAAATGCGAGAAACATGGATCGGCTGCCCCCTACTGGGGATCGAGCTCGAAACCTTTGGGCCCTGACCGGGCATCGAACCGTGGCCTTCTGGTTCACGTGTGGGTTGATGCTCAACCACTGAGCCACGCCGGCTGCGCTATCCAGTGTTTTGTTTTCATCTCAATGACTCTGTCAATGCTGAGTTGCCTTGCTGGCTCTTTTTCCTATTTACTTGATTTTGTGTCAAGATTTCCTGTTCGTTTACAAATATTTGCTCCTCCTAGATTTGTCTTTTGACAAACAGCTGTGTGAGAATCCAGCTCATATCTGCTAACGGCTGTGTGCAGACAGACACACGTCCATCCGCCTGGCCAGGCAGCTCGGCCTGAATGCAGGACCGTTCAATGAGGTCCGACCCATGGACCCACTTTGAAAGCACAGGTGATGTCATTATGATGGGACATTGGTGATCAATGTGGGAGGCCCAGGATTCACTGGGGGCTGCTAGGGGGGTGGTACTCAAACGTTGAAAACTTGGCTTTGCTGAGTCCCAGCCATCGCAAAGCCAGGATACTATTCCCCCCCGGGCAGAAGTGTGTTTATCCTGACTCTGGAGCCAACAGCCCTATTAGTTTTGAGCTGACTTAAATATTTTTCCACATTTGGGCAGAGCCACTGTGAGCCAAGAGAAGGGCATGGTCACATATTGTTATGATTCTCTGAGGACGGGGACTGTGCCTCATTTATCCTTCCTTCCACCCTGCATCTACCACGCGGCTCAACAAATGCTTACTCCCCTGGCTGGTGTGGCTCAGTGAGTAGAGCATCGGCCCACAGACTAAAGGGTCCTGGGTTCGATTCTGGTCAAGGGCACGTACCTTGGTTGGAGGCTCAATCCTGGGCCCTGGTTGGGGTGCGTGCGGGAGGCAACCCATCAATGTGTCTCTCCCCCTCCCTTCCACTCTCTCTAAAAAATAAATCAATGGAAATATATCCTCGGGAGAGGACTGACAACAACAGCAGCAAATGTTTACGGACTCACACTGTAAAATGGTCATTTAACGGGAGTCATGATATAAAGTACAGCCCGGCCAGTGTGGCTAAGTGGTTGAGTGTGGACCTATGAACCAGGAGGTCGCGGTTCGATTCCCGGTCAGGGCACATGCCCGGGCTGCAGACCTGATCCCCAGTAGGGGGCGTGCAGGAGGCAGCCCATTGATGGTTCTCTCTCATCATTGAGGTCTCTCTCCCTCTCTCTCCTTCTTCACCTCTGAAGTCAATAAAATATATATTAAAAAGAAACATCAACGATGAGAGAGAACTACTGATCGGCTGCCTCCTGCACGCCCACACTGGGGATCGAGCCTGCAACCTGGACATGTGCCCTGACCGGGAATCGAACCGCGACCTCCTGGTTCATAGGTTGACGCTCAAACACTGAGCCACGCCGGCCGGGCCCCATCCAGGGTTTGCAAACCACACAGGGAGGAGGCCCAGGACGGAATGGTGGGTTAGCACTTGCTCACTGGGGGAGACACGGCCAGAACTGCATGGACCAGCCTCCCTGACACTGCCCACAGCTGGCCGGCAGCCCCCAGCTCCCTGCAGACAAGCCCCGCGACTTCCCCGGGAGGAATGCTCACCGCCTCCCTCTCTCAGCCTCGAGCACTGGCTTTTGTCTCTTGCTGCACAGACAGCTCACGACTGTTACAGGAAAAACACTTTATTGAACATATTCAGCTCGCTTCCAATGAAATGATCAATCTTTCATGTACAGTGGTGTCCAATGTGTATCTTCTATTGTATTTCTTTTTTGTTTTTTTCTCCGCTTCTTCTTCTTTCGAAAACCAGCACCAAAAACGTCACACAGAATACCCAGGGGACAGTAGGCAAAGTGAGTTAACTAATGGGAACTATATACATTTGACTCCGGAGAGAACAAGACATGGAATTACTGCCACTGAGATCGTGCCCTGTGGGCAGAGATGGCCAAGCCATGGTCAGCCGAGAGGGTTGCATTTGCACCAATGAAAACAGCACCATGAGCCTGGCCGGTGTGGCTCAGTGGTTGAGATTCAACCCATGAACCAGGAGGTCACGGTTCGATTCCTGGTCAGGCTCGATCCCCAGTAAGGGGCGTGCAGGAGGCTGATCAATGATTCTCTCTCATCATTGATGCTTCTATCTCTCTCCCCCCTCTTCCTTCCTCCCTCTCTGAAATCAATAAAAATATATTTTAAACAAATAGCACCACGAGATCCTAAGACGGTAGTTAGCCACGCATGTGTGCGACCGCGTAGGGACAGCACTTGAATGACAGTACAGGGTGTCGTTGCCCATAAAGACACGCCGCTGCCGCTGTGGCCATCACGGGGTGGCCGTGTCTTCTGAACAAAGTGGAGCGATGGCTGCACCGAGGTCAGGTGTTGCTGGTGAGTTTCAGATCGCCAGCGCCCAGGTGAGTGAAAGGAGCACCTTAGGGAAGCAATGGGGTGTTTCTTAATAACCGAATCGGCCGCTTGCACTCTGAGGGTGTGGGGCCCTTGCCAGGCGCGCGCAGTTGACACAGAGGCGACAGGGAAAGGGCTCAGCTAGGAGCCCAGGCCGCGACCCACGCAGGCGTGCAAGCTAAGCTGCCCGGCTTCCTTAGCTGGCCTCTCCCCGCCAACCCCCTGCCCCGCACCCCCGGCTCTGTCCATCTGTGATGAACTACAGAACATTTGGGGCTGAGGAAAAACGAAATCCTAGTGCCCCAAGATTTAAGAACTTTGTGGGTACAAGAGCCGGGGGGGAGGTGACATTAAGGATGGGCAGCCCCATCCTGGCATTCTGTCCCTTCTCTCCGCAGAGCACCGGGCACTGAGCACCAAAGGAGGGTTCTCCGCTCCTCACTGATTCCAGGGGCTGGGGGTAGGGGCAGCAGCCAAGGGGCTGCATCAAGTCCCGGCCACCCCCCTCTACCTCCCCCATCCCTGGAGCAGGCTTGAGAGAGCAGAGGGATTTGTTGTTTGTCATTGTGATCGAAGCGGACCTGAAAGTCGTGACATCCACAACACAAACACAGACCACAGACACAGCGCCAATAAGTGAAAAAGCACCCGGAGAAGACCCCATGCACATCCTCTGGGGCAACGGAGGAGATGGTGGGGTCTTCATGGCAAAGTCCTTGAACATGAGCACCCATCCAACTGCCACCACGCTGGCCAGGGAAACGGACATCTTGGCATCCAGGGCCCGTTCCCAGGCTGGGGTCCCTTCCTCCCAGCTCCCGGGAGGTGAGCGGTGAGCGGCCTGTGCGCGAGCAGTGCTGTGGGTTGGAGGATCCTGGCTGCAGGACTGTTGTGCCCTGTCGTCAGGCCTCATCTGCGCCCTCAGAGGGGTCACCTCCCTGGGCTCCAGAGAGGGCACAGCTCTGTTTTGAGGGGCGAAGAGACTGAAGGTGGGAAAGACCCTCTTCATGCTTTTCTGAGTGTCCTTGTTGCCCCACTGGGAAGATGGTCAACAGGGACATGACAAGGTCTGCGCTACAGGAAGGCTGGATGGCCGGGCAGTGGTCCCTGGTCCCGGCCAGGCGGCTCTCCTCCACGGATCCTGGCCCACTAGACGGAGCGTCCCCTGGAGGAAACCTGCCCGTGATGGACGAAGCGACCAGGATTGAGCTTGAAATCTTCTGAGGTTCTGGAGATAATCAACTTCAGGCAGATGGCCAAGGTCACTGGGAAGCCATCCACAAGGTGCCAAATTTATGAAGTCCTGGCTAGAATAGAGGGCTCCACCCCCCAGAAAGTAGAGTAGAGGGCTCCAGAAGGCAGAGAGGAGCCCCCACGACCCTGACAAGGCTGTCCTGGGCTCCCCGTCTGCCAGGAAGCCATCCCAGAGCTGCTCACAGCACCTGGGAGAGAGGTCTTCCATTTCCCTGGGTGGACAGCAGAGATCTGACAATTAAGCACCTCCCCAAACCTAAACCCTTCCAGAATCTTCTCCCCAACACAGCTGATGCAATTCGACGTGGCCCCGGTCTCCCATTGGTTCACGCAGATCCAGCCTTGCACAGGGAAGTCCTCCAGGCCAGGCCCAGGGTCCAGAGAACCTGCTCTCAGCGCTGGGCGGACGGCAAAGTTCCTGTGTTGTCGTGAGGCCCCTCCGGAGAGGCCGCCGGCATCTGTCCTTCCGCCCAGGGTGCCGCTGGCTTTCAGAATGAAGCCCGATTTCATGTCCGCGGTCTCGTTTGGGCTACTCCACCCGTGATACACGAAGCACCGGGAATTCGGACGTCGGAAGAGAGCCGAGGCAGAGGCGGCCAATGACGTCTTGCTCTGCTGTCGGTTGTCAGAGGTGCCCCCGTTGAGGTCCAGGGGACCTTCGAGACTGTGCCGATTCTGTGGCTCAGGCCTATCTTCCCCTTACTGCAGAAAGCCATCCAGTGGCTCTGAACAATATATTAAGTATAAAAGCACCAAGGGCAAAGGTCAAGTCCACACTTGAGTTCTACGGGGACCGGATTCTTGGGACGGCCTGTGGGGGAGGGGCGCTGTGCTTTGGAGCATCCTGGCTGCAGGACTGCTGTGCCCTCAGATGGGTGGGTGTTCAGCTTGCCCTGGAGTGTGGCGGGACTGCGGGAGCGCGTGTCATGAGCTTGGTGAGGGCGGGGGCAGCGGCCGGCGCATCTTGTTGGCGTAGAAGTCCCTGCACGTCTGGCAGCAACGCTGGTACCACCGCATGTCCTGGCAAAGGTTCTTTTCCCGGATGACCCGACAGTACACGGTCCACTGGTCCCGCGTGCATTTGTAGGTCAGGGCAGCTACGGGGACAGTGGAGAGAGAAAGCCTGGGGGTTACGGGTGGCAGGGGGTCATTGTGACGCCCGCCGGGAGGCGGCCCGTGGCCCGACCCACACTGGGCCGCCCTTACCGTTGCCCCGTGGAGCCTGGTGGAGACTGAGGAGGTATGTCCCCTGCTGGGGACACTGTGGCTGCTGCTTTCTTCTACAGGGGACACACCCCTGTGTCCAATGTGACCACATGGCAGAGTCTGGTGGCCTGGCTGCCTCCTTGGGATGGGGGCACTGCCCACCCTGCTTCTGAGCTAAGTGGCGCTCACTGTTATTTTGTGGCAGGAGACCTCGTCACTATGGGCACTTATGAAACACGAGGACATGGGGCGCTGAAGATCAAAGGGCCCACACAGCTCAAGGTCACAGCGCAAGGTCATAGCACAAGGTCACAGCACAAACAAGGGTCATGGTTCTGCAGAGAGGAGGCCCTGCCTGAGGGACATCCCTGGGGGACTCCGTGGGGCTTGTGCATACAACAGCCCAGGGTGCACTTCCATAAGCTCACTCACCCTCCCCCACCCAGCGCAGCCACAGAGAAACACCCTTCATTCCGGTGCCTTCCAAGCGTCAGGGAAAGGGCTGTGGGTGGGACATATTCCCTGGGGATTTCTATTTGGGCGAGCAGGACCGCTGTGCAGGCACCAGTGGATCAGTGTTCAGTGTTTCTCGCCCTGCACCCCTGCTGGCCTGGGCCATGCCCGCTTACGGCCGAGTCGGGAGCCCACGGGGCCAAGCTGCTCACACAGAAGGTCCCCGTTGAACGAAAGACCAAACCCACTAATACCTCTCCTGTCTTCTCGAGCTCGGCTAGAGGAACATCCCGTGTGGACATCCCCAAGGATTCACGAACAACGCCCCCACCACCTCCCTTTGCCCCGCCCCACCTAGGAACCCTAAAACATTTGGAGGGATTCCCTCGTATTCCCCAGGGGTGGGCAGGGGGTCAGCGGGACACTGTGTTTGAGACGGAAGTTAGCCAACAGCTTTCTCATGACAAGGACTGGAATCCCACCTCTGATCTGCTACGGAGGTGGCCCACCTCGGCCTCTCCAGGGCTCAGATAAGACCAAGGAAGGTGCTTCCTGGCTCATGGACCCCGCCCCGCAGTGGGACTCGTTGGCGGGGTTGGGGGGGGGGGGGGCGGAGGGCACTCACCGAGGCGCGGGGAGGTGATGGTGTTCACATTGATCTTGTCGTTGCAGACCTCCTGGTGGCACTGCCTGTAGGCCGCGGGCTTCGAGAGGGTGGGGCACTCGTTGCCGTGGCGCCCGGTGACCTTGTGCATGCACTGCACCACGCGGGACTGCAGGCCCTTCCCGCAGGTGGAGGAGCACTGCAGAGGGGGCGGGGGACAGGGCAGCCTGAGCAGCCGCGCCGGGCTGGGCGCCGGGAGGGGCCAGGAGGCATCTGGACCACGTGCCTCCCGTCTCTTCCCTGCAGGCTGCCCCCAGGCGGCACCAGGCACAAGCACCGCGGCACCCAAGTGGGCGCCCTCTGCTCCCAAGGGCTGTGTGCGCCAGGTGGGTACCTCTACTTCTAGATGGACAAGCAAGATCATGGGGATTTTTGGGTTTTTTTAAAGTAAATATTTTTATTGATTTCAGAGAGAAAGGGAGATGGAGAGCAAGAGAGAGAAACATTGATGATGAGAGAGAATCATGGATCGGCTGCCTCCTGCACGCCCCACACGGGGATCGAGCCCGCAACCCGGGCATGTGCCCTGACCGGGAATTGAACCGTGACCTCCTGGTTCATAGGTGGACGCTCAACCACTGAGCCACGCGGCCAGGCTTGTTTTTTTGTTGTTGTTTTTTTCCACTTTAGAGGGATAAAGGGGCACAGAGACCATGGTGCTGTGGAGGGCCCCGTCTTTTCGAGTCACAAAAGAAGCGGAAACCCCCCCGCGCGACCCCTCTGTGGGCCTGGCCTGCTCAACCCAGAGGGGCCGCCTCCAGGAGCCTAGGCCCGCTGTGCGCCCTGTGCCACATCCCATCTCCCGGCCCAGGGCCTGATGCAAAGCGAAATCCTGTGAACACAGAACACAGTCATGCCAACGTCCAGCCATAGCAACACGGAGCAGTCGCACCAACACAGGGCAAAGTCATGACAACAGAGCAAAGCCATGCCAACGCAGTGCGAAGGTATGCCAACGGGTGCAATCCTATCCAACGTGGACCATCTGATGCCAACGCAGTGCAAGGCTATGCAACGGGTGCAATCCTATCCAACATGGGCCATCTGATGCCAACGCAGTGCAAAGTTATGCCAATGGGTGCAATCCTATCCAACATGGGCCATCTGATGCCAACGCAGTGCAAGGCTATGCCAACGGGTGCAATCCTATCCAACGTGGACCATCTGATGCCAACGCAGTGCAAGGCTATGCCAACGGGTGCAATCCTATCCAACGTGGACCATCTGATGCCAGTGCAGTGCAAGCTTATGCCATGGCCTATGAGTGAATCGCCAAAGACAGCAGCACAAACACATTCAAAAACAGGCGGCACTCTGTGGGCTCAGCTGGCAGTGCCCGGGCACAGCCTGGCAAACGGAACGGCGGCGCAGGAAGGGGGGTGATGAGGGCGCAGACAGACACCGCCATGGTCAGGCTGCCCCTTACGGAAGCGCTGCTCTCCCACCGGTTCTGACCCCTGACCCGCATGAGCGGCAGTGCTATCCGGCCTAACGTTATCGCGCCCGCGAGACCGGACACGGCATTATTTCTAATACAAACCTACGGCTTTAATTGTGAACGCGGAACTTCGTGAATGAGTGACGGGTTTTCAGCAGGCATTTGACGAGCCCCCCTATGCTATTAAAGACCTTTATGTCTAAATTGATCATAAAATAAAATAAAAACCCTGCTGCCTGAGAAAGCGGGGTTTCCATGTGCTTGAGGGCCTGTTTCTGTGACCATTCGGCATGAACAAGACCAATGAGGAGAGACAGGGCCCCAGCAGCACCAACATCCCCCCTTTTCTCATCGGATCTGGACTCGGACCCGGGGCCCGGCACCACCTCCTGCACGAGACACGCCCAGAGGAAGAGCAAGGTTGTCTGTTGTTGGTGGTCCTCAACCAAGGATACTTTTCCGGTGATTTTTAGAGAGAGTGGAAGGGAGGGAGGGAGGAGGGGCAGAGAGAGAGAGAAACATCTAAGTGAGAGAGACACATCGACTGGTTGCCTCCCGCATGTGTCCAGACCAGGGCCAGGGATGAAGCCTGCAACCTGGGCATGTGCCCTTGACCAGAATGAAATCTGGGACCTTCACTCCGCAGACTGATGCTCTGTCCACTGAGCCACACCAGCTGGGCCAGCAGCACTATTATTACTAACATCAGCGGAAGGCAGGGCTGACGGGGAGTCGCTGGCCTGTTGCTCAGCGCCCCCAGGTGGCCGGGCCCGGCCTCTGCAGGCAGGTGTGACCAGCACTGACCTGCTGACCTGGCGGCTCAGCCAGGTGACCTCCGGGGCACAGAGGC